GGCCCACACGTTGCAACAAGAAGGTGCCAAAATGTCAACAATGGGAACAGAATGACACAATTTTCATCATGAAACTGACAATCCGATCAGATTTTGGCAGTTCGGATGCAACATGCTGCGCGTTTCAGTTAAGGCTTAATGAACGAGTGTTGTTCAGTTTTCTTCTGATTGCACAAAATAAACTGAATTTAAACAGATTTTATGCATGTTATGCAAACTGAGCTTTAAAAAGTTAGAACCTTTTGGAGAAAAAAATGGCAATATATCTCCTTGATTACAGTATTGCAATATATCRTATCATGCCCCYTGTGTTGTGATCATATCATATCACCAAATTCTTGCTARTACACAGCCTTAYAGTTGTAGAGGTATATGTAATGATTCTGATTTCCAGTGAAATCCATCCATTGCTTCATGAGATATTTTACTAACAGCTGAATGACCCAGGGTGTAAAAGTTTGTTGTTTAGATGAAGCCTCTCTCTGACTCCCACTCTGAATGCACTATTCCCTAACTGCACACAAAACATCAGTACGAATCAGTATTCTGTCCTCATTAAACTCATCTGCAGTTGTTGGCCTAGATTAAATCTTGTGGCTTCAGCACTTYGACTGCCTTTAATTTGCACCTTGACTTGTGTCATTATCGCCARTCACATCACAACAATGTCCAAACGGATTTTCTTTTGTGGAAACCTAGAACGTGGCTCTGAAATAAATGTTTACCTGTTTCRTTTCTGCTGTTTTTGTAGCGTGTCTCAGTGCACTCCCATTCTGTATGTTTGTTTTTGACATCTGATGCATGATCTGACTGAAATGGTTACAGGAACAGAGAGGGGCTGAATTTCTGATGAGTTTATTAGCATAAAATACTGACATGACAGTCAMGAGGGAAAGTGAAAAACACAGGATTGCATCTCTCAGCTGCCTCGTCTGTCTTTGTTTGGTTCAGTCCTACTTTTATTTAGCTCTGCAGAGTAAATTACGCTCCTGTTTGTCTCTGCTCAGCCCGGGGCGCTCTCCATCCTGCTATGACAATGAAATAGTGATGATGAACCATGTCTACAAGGAGCGCTTCCCCAAGGTCAGCCTCACACAAACAAACAGGAGTGTAAACTGCACCTCCACACACTCACACATCAAACCCGCTGCCGTCTCTTATCTACAGTTAAAATGTGACTCATTATTTTTGCTGGATTCAGACTTTTTAAGAACACAGCTGATGATTCATTAGTGCCACGGGGGTAAAGATACAAAAAAAAATATAGAAAAATAAGTGAGTCAAAATRTTTCCCTAGAGCACATTTAGATGCATTAAAAGACAGCTTTGTTTATTTTAATGATGTAAAAGAGGCATTTTTCTTTTAAGTGAATATCAAAATGGTTCTTTCTGAAAGATTGTTCAAACAAAATATAAAGTTTTTATTTCCCGTAAGGCTCATAATTTTATTTTGTATAATAGAAACAGAAACACAAACTGAGTGGCTAATTCTATCATGATTCAATTTCTTTTTTTTATTATTGGGGTGTAAAAATATGTAGTTCAGTACATACCTCAGTTTTAGAGTCCTGGGTTTTGTGCAGTAGAACAATATATATATATATATAAATATATATATATAATGTTGTTTTTTTAAGCAGACAATAACCCAAAACAGAGACAGAAAAACAAAGCATGTCTAACTTTAACAACTGTTTTGCCCCCAATAAGGCCACAGCTCAGATGGAGGAGCGGCTGGCAGAGTTCATCCAGAACTACTCCCCRGAGAACGTTCTACCGCTCGCCGATGGGGTCCTCAGCTTCATCCACCATCAGGTAGCTGAGCTGTCCAGAGACTGCCTGGCCAAATCACGCGACGGCCTCATTACCGGCGTTTACTTCCGGGAGCTGCAGGARAACATGGAGAAGATGCTGCACGACGTGAGTTGTGAGACGGGGGTCGTGAARTTGGAAAGGTGGTCCTTAAATCTATCTTAAAATCTTCACTTGTATTTTTCTGTTTTTTATTTTCATTATCAGGCATACGAGCGCTCAGAGAGTACTGAGCTCACCTTTGTCACTGAGCTTGTCAAAAAGCTCTTCATCATCATTTCTCGTCCTGCCAGRCTACTGGAGTGTTTGGTAAGTTCTACCGTATCATCTGATCGTGTGCAGTGGAATAAAAAAAGATTTAAATTCAAAAATATCCTCGGCCCAATGGATTAGAATCAACACAAAACACTGTTCTCACAATTTCACCTTGAAACAAGCTGACAGACYCAAATCAAGGTAAAACTAAGACTTAAAACTCAGACTTTATTTTTTGAAAAAGCTATTTACACCAACAGTGTTTGTTCACACTTGTTTCCTGTGAATTCAGGTGTTTTAGTCAGAGTGATCACTCCTGTGACGGGATTCTTRAATTCTTCATCAAAGGAAATAAAAAACATTTTCTATTCTCATAAAATATACCCCASTTACAAAGCAAGGATTATAACCCCACATACTCTGCGGATGTTTGAGACTTCATAGTCGAGTGTACTGGTCGCCTGACAAATTCCTTTTTTTTCCTTTTTTTTTTTTACAATTTCAGTCATGGCTTCAAGGATGAGGAGGAAGTTTTAGTTTTCAAAAAACAAAAGAAGAGAACCTGCCTTACCCAGAGTCTGAGCTATTTCCTCCCACAAATTTGTTGTTTGCTGAAAGTCCTTTCATTGACGTATCATAAAGTTTCTGTTTTCTAATCTCCTTTGTGAGACGCTCTACAAAATTTTACTCCATTTCGTCCACAAATGGCATCAATCCACAACCATATCTGCATCCAAAACAGTTCGATGTGAACTCGCCGGGCAGTTTATTGTACGACACTGTGGATGGAGACGTTAAAAACTGATCTCTACACGGACCTGTCCAGCAGACGTCTGCTTCGAGTCCATTCGGAAATCCACGGCACGAAGTACRCCCGAGTATGCGAGGGTCTTAAAGACATCATTTGATTTTTTTTTCAGCGAGGACTGTCCTGAACAGAACCCTGACCTCAGCTCCATCAAACACTTTTTGGGATGAGCTGGAACAGACTGCAATCCAGACCTTCTCGCTAACATCAGTGCCTGACCTTATAAATGCTTTACAGAAATGAATTGAAATCTCACAGAGACTTGTGGAAAGCCTAAATAGAAGAGTAGAAACTGTTAGACAGTAGATAAAAAGTGAAAAAAAAAAACTCCATAGATTCCCTGTTGGAGTCAAGGTCAGGGGTGGCTAAATGTGTTTGATCCATAAAATGCATAGTTTAACATTAATCTCTCACTGTAAAGTAGCCACTGCAGAAATGTTCTGCATTAAATTTGAGTAAATGACTTTAGAACCGACTAACTGAATGTCTGAGGTGTAAGGTCTTTATTACACATTCAGTGTGTRCCTTTGCATTTACGTAGAAGTAACTTCCAATATTGGTTCAGTTGCTTCYGGTCCATGTTTTACCTGAAGCAATCTCATGGGAACATATAAATTTTGCAGTCCTGTGCAGCAGAGGTCACAGTGTTGTTAAAGCTGTGCCACACAGAGTGTAACAAATGCTGCAGCTTATAAACTTATTGCTCCGGGATATTTTCTTCTTTACTTATCTGGAAACTGTGGAGATATAATGTAAATTGGAATATTGCTACCTTCTCGACTCGTCAGACTTCTCAGCCGTACATCCAATCAGCTGTTAGACGAGGGCGTCGTTGGCACATACCATATTCATTCAAGTATAATACATAAAATTAAATCCATAAAATCATCCATAAAGTTGGGAGGTAGTACAATACTCGGATAAATATTTTTACTTATGTATTTTAACTGAAATATCGGCTTCATTCACAAAATGCATGAGTCCGGAAATGAGACCACGTCGTAAAAAGCAGTTGAAACGAGCTCACCTGTGACACTCCTCCGTGCTTCAGAGCGAGATAATAACAGATCCAAGCAGGCGACATGATGTGAAGAAAAGGGGGAAAAGTATTCCTGCACCTTAGTAATGATAACAAACTAATGGCATTAGTGTGTGACTGGGCCGCTTCTGGAACAACAACAAACACATGTTCGTCTGTAATGGCTGCCGTCTACCGTTGTTGCGAAAAAGTTTCTATCCCTGAAAAAATGTTTTCCTACCAGAGGGGGCGCTCGTGAGTAGGAAGTAATCTGCTTTTGCCCCACAAGATGGTCCAAATCTCATGTCAAGTCTCTGACTTTTGTGTTGGCGCCTCCTGGTGGACTATGTGTGAAATGCCAGAATTCATATGATGCTGCTACAGCTGATATACGTATATTTGTTGTCAGAATACATTTTAGTACATATGTTGTTAAAATAAAGTGAACAGTCCAATGATCATTTTACTGATATGTATAAAGACTGCAAAGGCTGAAAAATCTTGAAGTCTGTATGAAATTGAAGGTAGTTTGAGGATTAAATTTTTTATGCTTTTTAAGCTCAACAAAGAGGGAGTTGTATTATACATGAATAAATACGGTAGTTCACCTAAACTTCCCTGGTAATGTTAGGAATGTATACACGGAAAGCTTAAACACACCTGCACAGTTTGCCGATTGACGACCCCCCACCCCACACACACACACACACGTTCATGTTCATCAACTATGGGGTATCTCCCCGTCCACCGAACCCACGTCTCATCTTTCAGTTGCTGAGGCAACCGTCAGAGGAGGTCGATCGGGTCAGCCAGGACGTGGAGGAGACTTTAGATTCTCCTGGCTGTGAGGTTACAGAGAAGAATACTCACACATGCATGAAAAGCTGGGGAGTTCATTTAGCATTCATGTCAGTTGCAAGGTGTGATTTGTTGAAAATGTCACACAGTCAGTCGGCTGTTAGCTGCAAGAATATTATCCTGGAGCAGAGCGAGCTATCACAGAGCCACGTTAATTCCTCCTCTTTCCTTTTTCTCTGGTCTGAGGGAACCGATATGAGAAGGCAAGGACGGAAATGATCCTGGCCGCCTCAGGCTTTCTAATCAAAATGTTATTCCACCGGCAGGAATGAAACTAAATCCCACGGGATGCAACAAAAGGCTGTTGAAATAGAAAAAGGATTTCTTTAAAAAAATAAAGCAATTTAAAGTTGAGAAGAGTATTGATGCTGATTGTATTTTTTTTGACAGCTTCATTTTGATTGAGGTTTATGAAATTGCTGCAGGTTGAAATAAATGTTAGATTTGTGATTTGAAAGTAGAATGCAATAATTTCAGCTTCCAGAAAAGCAGAAGGAAATTAAAGTCAACTAAAAAAAGGGGTCCGGGGGCATGCCCCTCTAAAAAACTTAAATGGGTGTAGTTTGTTACATTCAGGTGCAATCTGGGCACAATATTATATAAAAACTTAGTTGGATGAGATAACAAACTTGTGTAGAATCTTAGAATGAAAGTAGCAGTCAGACTTTATGAGCACTTCTTACAGTCGTTCTGCTGTGGTATACAGTTGTTACAGAGTAGTTGTCTTCATTTCAGATTTGTGTTTCTGATGCTCGATTTGTATCCCTGTGAGAATCAGTGTTGTATCTTTAAAGGGGGCATATCATGCAAAATCCACTTTTTTAGCTGTTAAATGTATTTTGTTGTGTTTTTTGAGTCTTTAGAAGTTCAGAAAATTTGAATTTAGGTTTTCCCGATTCTGCATAGATATCTTTATATTCTGTTTGGGTCATATTTTTAGACCAGTTTTCTCTATTTTCTCTCACATTTTCTTTATTATTTGTCAAATTACTTTCGACGGAACTGCCAAATAAGGTCTGGAATTACCAATTACATTTTTGTCATCCTTATTCTCCTCTGGCTCTGGGTCAGACTCTGGCTCCAACATTTAGGGCTGGATGGACAAGTCTTCCCTTATTGACATATTTTAGTTTATCTGTAAATAAAAAGTTTCTGCAATGCTATATAGTTGCAAATCCCTCTTTCAAACTGGAACGGATCGCTCTGGAAGCTGGGGGGTGCGAGGTGTGAAGAACCTCATATAGTTTTAAAGAGACAGCCTCAAAAGGAGTTGATCTGAGCTCAGAAAAGGGGTGAAAGAGGGGTTTGTTGAGTTACAACAATGAGGAATTCATTGCAGTTCCACTTATATATCCCAACTGAATGGTTTAAATGTGAAAAAGAAATATTTAAAAGCCTGATTTGTCTTTTTATTAACTAAAAGCCTAACATTTGTTCCTGACAGGAGTTCAACCCAGAAGAGTTCTACCATCTACTGGAGGCTGCGGAGGACCACGCCAAAGAGGGGCAGCTAATGAAAGAAGACATCCCTCGATACATCATCAGTCAGCTGGGTCTGACCAGAGACCCACTGGAGGGTAAGACAAAAGAAAATAGATCGAGGTTTATTGGACACAACAGGAAACACTGTAGCAAAGCAGACAGAAAACAAGCTAAGTTTTTAATTTGAAGACCAGCGTTAGTTTCACTTCCTTTATAAGAGTTAGATCAGAGGATCAATACCACTCTCGTGTCTATTAAGTGCCGACCTGGAGCCAATAAATTGACCACCTTAATGAGGGAAATGTTTGGAAACAGCTCGGCTGTTTGTGTCCATGAAGGAAATAAAACACAACACAAAACACCACACACAGGGTTCAAGGTTTTAGCTCTAAGGTTTTGTCTGATTTTATGTCACACAGTGAAGGAAAAAAAGTATTTTCATACAGTGTGTTTAAACATCTGGTTTACTGTGTGAGCACAATGTGCAAATGAAGCAGATATTGAGCGAAATTGACAGATAGAAGAGCACAAACTTAGTCTTAGTTTTTTTTCTTGGTTGTTTTTTTATGCTAATTGCAAGCAGGCAATAAAACCATGTTGCTACAGACAGCTTAATGCACTTGGTCAAATCCCTAACAGCAGACTACATTTTATATTTCAGCATATGTCTCTAAAGGCTCAAACACTGTATTCAGATCAGTTTTTTGAATGTTGCACAAGTGTTATTTGCAGGATCAGTGTAAAGTTGGGACCATTTGCTGACCAGTGATGCAGAGAGACGTCGCTGTGTTTCATTAATCATCAACTCATCGTTTTGTTCCCTTCTGCTCAGCTGCCTCCTCTCAAATCCAGCTGGAACCGCTCGTTAGTTAATTTGTTTAAAAGCTCGGAATAATCTCGCTGCCATCTTATTCCTGACTTTGCGAGGAACGTTGTTAGAGGTCTTTCCGAGTTGATCTCTGCTAACAGTGTGCCACTTGATGTCTTGATCTTGCGCAGTCTTTAGTGCCCACATTGTTATGCACAGGCACACATGCACGCCCACGTAGCTGCGTGCACATCCATACTTTCACACTGTTCTTTCTTTTCTTGGTTTCCCAGAGACGGCTGGCGAGGTTTTCGGTGACAAACAGAAAACTGAAAACGTGATTCTCACCTTTTTTTTCAGCGACTTTTAGCTTACATAAAGTTCATTTCCACAAACAGGTTTTGTAAATGCTTTTGAAAATTTACCCATCATTTGGCTTTTTCTGTTCTTTAACACAACAATGGTTTAATTAGTGTATTCAACCAGCTGTCACAAACTAAAGTGCAAGAACATTGAGCGTGTTCTGCTGATGGAGAGAGGGAGGACTGTGGAAAATAAAACTGATTAACACCAGAAGCTGCTTTTTTTCTCAAAATTGTCTTTGACATGTTTGGCTCTTCTGGTGTTTAGAAACTTGGTGCTTTGTTCATGATGTTTGAGGCAGTGTGGGAGGTGAGCTGTTTTGCCTGGAAAATTGTCTCCTTTTCATTTTAGCACCAGGTTTGTTGTTAACCAGCATGTTTCTCCTCAGAAATTGTCAGCCTCGACAGCTACGACAGCGAGGGTCCGCACACGCCGGAGACAGACGACTCGACAGAGGTGATGAACTGACACAAACATGCGCAGACACACCTGTTTAGACCAGTTTTCATTAACACACAACACCAGTACCATCACACACCACTGTGCTAACCAGTGCTCTGAAGTTGTGCTTTTATTGTGTTGGGTGTCACCAGGGAAAAGGCAGGTCCATGAAGCCCCCCAGTGAAGAAGACTTTCAGACCATCAAACTCATCAGTAATGGGGCTTATGGGTAAGGAAGGATTTTACACCTCACTGATTCTTTATACAAACAAAATCATCTTTGCTCAAATATTAATAAGTCTTTATTAGGTGTATAAGCCAATTCAGTCCAGAAAAATGATACAGAGTACAGTATAGTATAGTATAGTATAGTATAGTATAGT